AACATTACTGCATTTCTATAAATATATTTACTAGTTGTCCTTGATGGTTTTATTTCTGGGACGGACCGTATTCCTTATTCATATCCGAATTGAAGCTTTTGAATAAAGTGCGCATTCAAAACATCATACAAAACCTCAAATACTTTTCAAAATCTATGTGTTTTGATGCTACCAAATATTTATGTATTTGTCTTCCAAAATTTCGCAACGTTACATTGTGAAAATAGTTCCATACAACTCCTTAGTAAATTTGATCAAAAAGAAGGCAACAAAATCATGTGTGGACGGTTTCATACGTTAATATGAAACTTACTATCTATAATCATCGGAATTGTACACAACTACAGACCGCACTCCCTCATGCATAGTTGGTCTTAAAAATATTTCGCTATTTTTTGTATGTACCTTTTGGTCAAATAGCTTCTCACATAAATAATATTCATACATTCCTGCTTTTGACCAATGTTTATCCAGAAAAGCGCTTCGGACGCACAAAACTTATACAGGTGTTATTTTCATTATCAATAACAAAACATGCCCGAAATACTATGTTATATATGTATTAATATACTTGGTAGTAAATAATTGTCAGTTCTATGTGTAATACACTCAATGGTAATCGTGCTGTATCGGACATCCATGATGATATCGATACGAGTCACGGTTGCAAAGGTTTTATCAAACCCTTATCTGTATGACATCGTGTCTCATGAAAAACATCTAAATTACTTGTGCTTGAGGTACATGTTTATAATAAAGTGTTTATGGAATGGCTTTACCAGTATCACAAACAGTAACAACCCTCTACAAATATAACCCCTCGAGCAGTGATCTTGAGATTATATCGGTGTCTCGGTGTGTTATATTTTAAAAGCCATATGAAATTTTCTATTTGACATGACATAAATATAGGTTAAATGTTATACTAATTGTACTATTCTGTAATTATCTATTGCCGAATTGATCGGGTATGTTTTTGGAATTTTCAATATCGTTGCTGAAAGGCACTACTGACCTAAATCAGACTTCTTAAACAAAAATGATACAAACTGGAAAACCAAACGTTCGCATATTTAGAAATTCAATATTTGTATCTACATACACAACACACTGACTTACACTCTGGATCTTTGTCAAAATTTTACAAATTGTAAGTCATTCTATACAATGATTGATGTTTATATTATTCAACTAAATAAACATTAAACAGTTTCACACAAATATAACGCTATATTTAACATACAACAAGCCAATCAAAACAAGTACTAAGAACTGGTTTATTGAAAGCAATTTAGTTCCGTTAAAGTTCAATGTTGCTTGCATATGATCATAAATAGATAATACAATAATTCATAACACGTTTGATTATGTAGTCAAATCTAATATACATGAAACCAAACTAGACCGAATTATAATCGTTTATTTACGAAGACATTAATGAAATAAGATATGTATGCATTTAACTACTAGAATGCATTAAATTTCTCTGTGACGTCAATACTTTAAAGATATCGAAATCAATCAAAAATCAAAAATCAAATGACTAAGTACTGATTTATTGTCTGTCAAAGTTCCCTGTTGATAGAATGAACCATATGTTGATAAATGTAATGTGTTTGAACACGTTGTATGATGTAATACTTGTTTATGTACATAATAGGTAATCGATACCGACATAGAATCTTATGGTCAAATGTTTTAGGAAAGCGGATCATGGCAGGAAAAGAGAGGAGAAGTCGAAAATAAACTGACAACGCCATTCCTTAAAAGAAAAAGACAAACAAACATCAGTTCAAAAAACATTACATAGAAAACCAAAAACTGAGCAACACGAACTCTACCAAAAGCTGGGGTGATATCAGGTGCTCCGGAAGGGTAAGCAGATACTGCTCCACATGTGGGACCCGTCGTGTTGCTCATGTAAGTTCAAACCCGGTTATAAGATGTATGCAGTGTATTACTTGAATGTCTGCAATGTCGCTGCGCCTTCAATTCTGTATAAACATAAATTTCATTCAAAAGAGGATTTCATTCAACTACTTTATAATATATTGATTAGAAAACAACTTTATTTTCATAAATTAAATTTGTAATAAACTTGACAAAACAAGGACTTCCATTGTCATTGAAAGCCTTTTACCATATTCAAAGTGAGTCAGTGTTATTCGCCATCACTCAATTATCATCGCTAGAATATAAATGTTGAGGGATTTATACATATATGTACCCAAATTACTGATTGACTTATAAATATTATGTGTTACTTGCGTATTGTCTTTTGGTAACACATATTTGTTAAATCTTTAAGGATTATGTCAGGTCCAAAAGGACCAACATACGCTCTAGACACCCCGATTTAAAACATTAGCCGTTAGTTTTCTCATTTGAATTGCTTCATATATTTCATGTCGGGGCCTTTTACCGTCGAACACACGGTGTGGTTTATTCTAATTGTAGAAGGCCGTACGCTGTCTATAATTACTTACATCCACTTCATTTGAACTTTGGTGGATAATTGTCTCACTGGTTACCATACCACATCTTCTTATTTTTACATTAATTTTGAATTGTTGGTTATACATTCTTTATAAAACAAAAAAAGTAAATTCCTCACCTTAAAATTTCTCAGCTGCAAAAATTCTGCCACATATATACATTATATTTGGTTTACCTTCACCAATACAGTTTATGATTTTTCTAAATGATTTTTTTTCCATATTGATATATCAGTTTTATCACTTGCTATCTTTAATTGTAAAAGGCAGAAAGGACAGCACTCGTTCAACGACGAGTTCCTACGTCTAGTGCACATGTCAATGCAATTTGCACACTCGTCGCATGATTGCTTATGTTTAGGAAGTGCCAGAAAAGGATTTATTTACCTGCAAACATAAAGACGCTATCTTAATAAGAAATTTCGATTACGACCATGTCTAGTCTAAATGAACATAAATGTATAGTTATACATTTCAATTTTAGTTAAGATATTTTTGCATTGCTGAAAGCAGAATAAATTAGACACAAACAAAATAAACTGATGAAGTCTTTTTTTACAGTGCAATAAAAGTAAGTAAAGGACATTAAAGTTAACATGCATTTAATAGTTTACATGGAAAAGATAGGATAGCAAAGCTAAGATGAAATATCAGAGAAAAAAGGCAACAGTAAAAACCAACAGAAACGGTTACGACGATGAGTAGTTTTACTGTGTTTATAAAAGAACAAGCCTTCATAAAACAAAACAAAAACAATACGAAAATCAATAAAATAGAGAATCCAAAGTATTTGATTTTTCTGACAATTCTCCCGCATACGCGCTCCAGTTTCGATTCTTTGTTTTAATTTCATTTTTGTGAGACGCCACGGGAGATCACTTGACTTTCTGCGAATAGAATATGATTAATAACTAAATGTGTGCTGAAAATACAAATAAAATGTATTGTATATGTCAATTTTTTAATCCTCTCTATCGTACAGAAATTTCTTTGTACCTTATAACACCGTTGGAGCAGGTTTTATGTCTGGAGCACCCCTGCGTACGATGTTCATTTAATTCGAACGTACATAAGACATGTTTTTGTAAGAATGTCACCTGCTGGTGTATACTACTAGAATCGTTTACACTCATCATTGCATGAAATTTTGACAATTTACACGTTTTAAACAAAGAAATGTGTTACATTTCATTTAATCAAGAATTGTTTGACTTATTCAGAGACGATTACAGTGACTCTCCAAGTGTTACATTTTCCTGGCAATTATATGACCACAATGATAGATACATGTATCTGTAAATGGACGATTTTTGTGAAAACAGAATGAAACGCGTGATGTGTATGTTATGATCAATGCGTGAAAGTGGTAATTGAAATTTGACATATTCTTAAGGAAATTCAATTTGGTTTTGTAACATAGTTGGTAAACAATGAAGCATATATTTGTTTGTTTGAATGTCGTTTTAAAATTGTGACACCCACGCTAAACAAAGTAGTGGTATATAGTGATCCGGTGTCCTTCGATCCGTTTGTCCGGTATAATTTCTGCATAACCAAAAAATGAACTTTAACAAAAGTTTTGCATATAAAAAAGAAGATGTGGTATGATTGCCAATGAGAAAACTCTTAACAAGAGACCAAATGATACCGAAATTAACATTTATAGATCACCGTACGGCCATCAACAATGAGCAAAGCCCATACCGAATAGTCAGCTATAAATGGCCCCGGAATGACAAATATAAAACAATTCAAACGAGAAAACTGATGGCCTTATTTATGTACAAAATAATGAACGTAAAACAATTATGTATCATAGCAAAAAACGACAACTACTGAATTACAGGCTCCTGACATACAGAATGTGGCGGGGTTACACATGTTAGCGGGCGCCCAACCCTCTCCCTAATCATGGGACAGTGGTGCAACAGAACAATACATAGTCTTTTTAGCGTGATGTACTTGAACATTTACTATTTATTCTGTGATCAAAATAATTTCTGGAATTTTCTAAACCAAACATGGCTTTCAATTTCACATTATAGGGGCTGAACATTCCTCATCGAGAACTCCTCCTAAACATATGAATGGAGTCAATCGAATTTTTGTTATGGATTCGTCATAAAGTAATGCAACTCCTATCAAATGGTTATAGGGAGCTAGGCCGTTGCGAGCTCTGCTCAAATCATTTAAGTTGCTGTTGAATTTATGTGATAATTTCTCAATTGATGTAACATATAACTACTAACGAAAATATATGTAGAATGGAAAAACCTCACTTTACCAATTGCTGATCGCACATATAGAATATATATGCACACCTATTTAATTTGAGATATAATAATAACGGATTGCACATATAAAATATAAATGCACGTTTATTTAATTCCAAATTTAAAAATCTACAGTATTAACTGAAGAAGAACTTATTCATTGCTGTCACCTAGACCTTGAATGCAAAAACATTTTAATTGGAATTCGTTGAAACATGTATAACATGTACAAGATCAATCAATTTTAGAAATATGGGACTATTCCGAATGCTGGATTAAAAGCAAACGTTTGAACTTTAAAAATCCTACTTCAATGTACTCAGAGCAAACTAGACCATGGAAATTAATATGTTAACATTGTTGTATATTATACACATTTCATTTCTGTTAATTCTTACTGCAGGTAAGTGAACAGTGAATCTTTTATTAAAGTTGTTTTTATTTCAAAAACTTCTTATTTTACCAAAACAACATTTATAGGAGAAAATAGCCTGTGATCAAAGTTATCAATCGTCAAAATAATTAAATTATTTAATATTCATTTTGTTTTGTCATCTGGGAAAAATCTGACAACGCTTTTTTTACCTGGGCCATAATATATTTAGTATACTCTTTCCAGGTGAAATTAATGCTTGGAGAATGATTTTTTGGGCCAGTTTTTACCTGAATTTCTAACTGTAATGTACCTACAAATCCACTTTAGAGAGGGAGTATTTTTGAATAGTAGTATAGTAAAAATAATATTTATGTCTTCTGTAAAACCATATATACCTTTACACGAAACATTGCTTCCTGCATAATTTTGGACAAATTGCGTTAAGAAAGTATTGTGGCCCAACTTAGATACAAGTATCTTGACTTAGGAGGGAAAATTCCTACTTTATAAAAAATCACTCTGATTCTATCAATAAATTCTCAACGTTATCAAGATGCTTGATTTGTTGATTCACACCATACACGTATTTGTTACGTTTGGGTGACGTGTTTTTCAACAAACAATCGGCATTCCCATAAGAAACCAACTGTGCCCCTCTTCTTGTTGACTTGTTCCTTTATTTATATGAGGCTGACTCCATACAGGAACTTTTTTAGGAAGAAGAAAAAGGAGTAAGAAGTTTATCCTTTAACTTTACTTTTCGCTAAATAGATGATGATTTCTCACTAAATAATTCATAATTTGGTGACTATGTTGAACGCATCTATCCAATCCAACTTGAGATAAAGGATACAACAGATACAGTTAAGTCTGCCTCATATCTTGACTTACATTTAGAAATTGACAATGAGGGTCGGTTGAAAACAGGATCCGCTTACCCTTCCAGAGCAACTGAGATCACCCTCAGTTTTTGGTGGGGTTCGTGTTGATCAGTCTTTAGTTTTCTACGTTGTGTTTTGGGTACCATTGTTTGTCTGTAGGTCTGTTTCTTTTTTAACCATGATTTTGTCAGTTTATTTTCGACTTATGAGTTTTTCATGTTCCTTTGGTATCTTTCGCCTCTCTTTTACAGCTGAAATTTGAACTCATAATTTAAGATTTAATTTTATGCCTATTTTAAAGTAGAGATATAACGCAATTAAAATGCTCTTCTACGTGTTTTTGTGTGGTTTTTTAATTTGCAAATAAAGAACGCATTAATGTACGAACTAAATAATTTACCACAATGTTCGTGTACATGAACAATATCTTTCATGGAAAATGATCTGGTGGAACTTGCATGCGACAAATATTTCCCGATAACAAAATCATATGGCAAAACTTCAAATACATGTGATGCTAATTTGAATAGCGGCCATATTGCCTTATCCTGACGAAGGATTATACATGCCCCTCAAATAAACTCTCAAATATGCCAATGTCTAAGTCTTATCATCAATTTCTTCAAATGAACATTTAAACATTGAAAAATTTCGGTTTTATTGGTTTTAAAATCGGAAGTTTAATCTTTGTATAATCATGATAATCATAATATACAATTACTGAAATTCGTAAAACAGCCAGATTTACCATAAAGATACAGATAAAAACAAGAGTTTTTATGATTTGTCCGCATACAAGGAACACCTTGGAAGTTGAATTTTCAGGGTAAAAAAAACTTTCATATCACCTGTTTTCATTACTTTTCGGCCAAGTCTTTTAAAATTATGATGCTTTAATGTTTCCTTTGGCGTAAATGGTCCAATTGTATGCTTGTTTCTCAAAATTACACATAATATTTGTAAATATCCGCTGAAGGAAGTTTTCAAAGACACGGTAATATTATATCCAAAACGGAAAAAAAGACTCAATTATCAGCAAACTTGATATAGCTTGCATTTTCAGTCTGCAACAAAGGAAGAAGTTAAATAAACAGGGCAAGCCATTTGATGCAAATTCCATGACATATAGGTGTGAAAACATTCAAATTGTGTCTTCTTTGTATAAAATGGAATTTTGATATCTTCAAACTTTAAAATCTTTGAAATATTCATGATATTTAATAGACATCGCACTTTAAACTTTGCTCATTTTTTCCAATTATTTTTCAACCAAAATTACCTAGTTTTTTTAATCTTTCGTGTTAGAGGGCCTTTAGTCCACCTCTTCCGTATTTCCATGGCTGTAACTCAGCTATAGTATTATTGTGCATTTTGAAAAAGCCTCAATATGGATTGCGTAACATTTTTAGCCTGATTTTATGAAGAAGTTTGCATGATGAAATCTAAAGTTAAAACCCTTTTTAGAAATTGATTCCGTATTAAAATTTTTCATAACCAGTGCACGGGTTTGGTTTACACATTTAAATCTTCCTTTAAGTTCTTTAAACAAAAAGCTCATTATCGAAATGGATTCTTTTTCGATTACTATTCTAACTGTTTTAATTTGTTGTATGTCATTGTAAAAAGCTACAAAAAATATGCAAAAACATCTGCGTATTGTTTAAGTCCGTCAGATTGATACATTGTGATATTTCAACATCCAGTCTTAATACATATAGTGCATCCATTAATTTATTGTTCAGCCACAGGAAACCTAATTCAAACAAAGCCTCCAAAAACAGAAGCAAAATATCCATGCTCTAAAGAAACCAACAACAGCAGTCAAAATCACAAGACTCGGCGAAAAGACAAACAAGAGTCTACCGAACACTTCATAGACAATCGAACAATGAGCAATACATAACCAACAAAAACCCTGGGTCTAGCTGAAAATTACCAATCACGAATCGACTAAAAAGGTATATAACTGTCATCATCATCGAATAGGTTGACTGATATGGTATGTTAACATGGTGTTTAAGACCCATTGGTGCCCTTCGGTTGTTTTTTTACTCTTTGGTCGGGTTGTTGTCTCTTTGAAACATTCCCCATTTCCAATCTCTATTTTATAGTAAAAGAGAGGCGAAATATACCAAAGTGACATTCTATAATGAGTCTGTATTTCAGAGGGACATCCAGTTCTGTGTTTGTATTTTAATTCATGAGATGCATGTTTTCACGATCCTTGTTCTCAAGCCACAATAATGGTATATTCTTAATCTTAACCGATTGTATTCTTGTCTCTCTTGTGACATATTCAAATGATTCTGTATTGTCGTAGAAGAATATGCTTACATACTGAGGAGAGCATATATATTCGAACTATTCATCTCGCTTCAATTTTGTGCTGATGCAATTCCTTCTACAAAAAAATGCAGTTGTTAGGTTTATTTCAAATTGATTAACAAGTTAAAAACATTGGTAAACTACTTATATACTAATTAGTGTTAAAGGATATTTATTTAACAGAAGTTAGGAGGCAGGTGTGAAAACTGGTTAAATATTAACCTTCATGTTGACAACAACGATGACAATGTACTTAAAATGTATAGCATTAAACGGACTTAAACATTTGTTAATTTAAAATAAGACATTTCCACAGCTAATTTGGAAAATAATGATATAACTAACTTTGTTGAATAATTCTTTTCATCACCTTGGCCATAGAATGATATTATCAAAAAAGAAAGATATGGTAATGCGCGTACACAACAGTAGCAAACAAAAGGTACGTCTGATAGGTTTAAACAAAATAATTCACAATATCATACCTATTGGTAAACTACTCATATCAGACATATCCGTAACTGATGGGATTACATAATCTAAATTAGATATCATGTCCTGTACATATTAAAACATAATACTCAACGCTGAGGTTGACAAATTCGACTTTTAATGTGGGTATAAAGGTCAAAGTCTAACTCCTACAATGATTTTCTATAGTTGAAAAACCTTCTTTTTTTTTAAAGAAATATATGTAGTAATGTGTACACAATAATTATTGTGCAAGGTGTTATCCAGGTTGTACATGGTATAAATGAACGGAGTATGATAAAATGGGCAAACACCAGTTAATAAATTTTACACGAGATATGAAAAAACAATTCGCAGTTGTCGGCGGATAGGTTGAAACAGTTAGAAATTTTATTCTAGTTCGTCACCTCAAACGCATATAAAGTATTTATAAAATAAAAACAAACACTTGTTACATAGGAATAGCTCGCCAGCATGTCCAGCTTACTGTTAAATTTTATTAAAACAAAATATTGAGTCCCGATGTCATGATATCGGCAACACCGCTGCGTAGTACACGACAGCCTACAAAATAGAAAATCAAAATCAGAAATCATATATACATATAAATCTTAATAATCAAACAAACAATGTCCTACTGATAGTATAAATATCTATCTATCTATGCGTGAAAACATTTCAAATATACAAGCATCTTAATCCGGGTGGGGGGGAGAGGGGTCTTAACCTAAACTAAGCTGCCTTACTGAACGGTATACGAGCTTCGAATGACCATATATCTTAAATTACTTAAACAAGACAACTATTCGCGCTTTAAAAATCCCGTGCTATTTACATAACAAATATCATACTCAATATATTTACGCAACGCGACAAATATTGACCAATCCGAAATATCATATATTCAAAACACAAACCTGTTTATCCAATATAAACACCAATAGATGACCACTATGCGGACACACAATCACATGTGATTGTTTACATAATAGAAAACACGTGTATGCTCAACTTTAATAAATACATTTATATTCTAATTCGTCACCTCAAACGCATATAAAGTATTTATAAAATAAAAACAAACACTTGTTACATAGGAATAGCTCGCCAGGATGTGCAGCTATTTTCGACAAAACAAAGAAAGGCGCAAATGTGTGTTTTTAAAATTCCTAACTTTTTAGTTACTGTCAGACGTTCACTGATGTTCTCTTTGACATATCCGTCCTTAGCCCGGTCTGATTTCCAGCGACCATGTTTTTTGAAGATTCGATCTTCCACATGCGCGTTTGCAGCAGCAGTGGCGCCTCCGGACCTCAAACTATGCAAACCAAAATACTTTTTGTCTAATAC